GTGTGTGTGTGTGTGTGTGTGTGTGTGTGTGTGTGTGTGTGTGTGTGAAGGTTTGGCCAGGATTAGCGGATTGCATCTGCTTTGCAAAAAGACATACGTCAAACTTTTTTGACCAATCACAGCAAAGTATTCCCCTCGCTGAGCTCTGCTTGGTCCAGCTACTTTCAAATCATGAATTAACTGTGCTCAGAAAGTCAGAATGACAAGCGGGCAATATGGAGGACATTGGAGAACTCCGAGATGAGATGCAAAGGTTTGCTAATGAAACTGAGCAAAATGAATTAACATCTGACACTATTTTGGCCAGTATTGAAAACTTTCTCAAAATGCTCGGACGAAAAAGTGCTCTTCAAGATTTAGACATTGATGACGAAATTCTGAACTGCTTCAAAGAAACTGAGTACAGTGTATTTGTTAAAGACGTCCAAACTTCAAGCATGAAAGCAGTACGCCTGGATGTTCCTGTTGATATTATATATTATAATATTATTATTACCTGCAGTGTTCCCTCAGTGAGGACTGAACTTGGCAAAAGGGCCTTCTCCTACTCCGCCCCTGTTTCCTGGAATATCTTACAAAAAGATTTGAAGCTCTCGACCTTGACCTCTCTAAGTGGCTTTAAGAATCTGTTGTCTCCTGGCAGGGACTAATGCAGACATGTTCCTGTTTTTAGTTTTCTACATTCGCCTTTGAATCTAGCTGTTTTTGCTACTTTTTTCCATCTTTTTTTAATTTGTAAAAAGAAAAAAATCTGTATGCCTCTTTAATGACTGTCCATTGTTGTCATCATTCTTTGTTGAAATCAGGTCTTTCTTGTAAATGAGTCCTCGAGGCTCAGTGGGTTTAACATGTATAAATAAAGGTTGAATGAATGAATATGCTCACTACATTTGGTCTGTCAACTTGAGAAATCGCGGATTGGTTCGGTGTGTCATCCAGCACAGAAAAAACTCCGCCCACTCATTTGAATATAACAACAAAAAGTGCTTAAAATGAAAAACAGGTTAAAAAATAAAAGCCCCTGAAATATGTAAAATAGCTTTACAAAATAAAAACGTCACAAAATGAAACTCCATTATTAAATAAATAAATAAATCTTGAAATGAATAAAAAGTCTTGAAAAAAAAACCTAAACATTTCTATATAAATGTTTTATTTCATGGGAACATTCATTTATCTAATGGAATATTTATTAATAAGTTTTTTAATAACACTATTTATTTATTTAATTTTGAATGAAATGACTCTCCATAAAAAGGGTCATATCTGTATGATTCATAGTGCCCTCCAGCATTTAATAAATTTGATAAATATGCCACTATTTGTTTGATTAGTTCAAGAGCACTAACTTAGACAAGAAGCTAGGTGAGTGCACAACATCATTTCACTATATAATCATTCATTTATATTGTAATTTTTATTTTCATTAGGCAATATTAATTGAAACAAACACTTTTTGTCATTTTAGTCCCTGCATCTGGGTAACAAACATGAAAACAACACATTAAAAACTTACATTTTGCATTTGTGTTTGTCTCCGGTTCTATCACAGCCTTACTTACCTCTATGAGTTGAAGCTGAACTATGAAGTGCTGTTTAGTACATGTCACCATTTAATATTGACTTCAGGGTTGGTCTGTCCATAACCGTGGTTCTCCTCTTCAAAAAGGGGGACCGGACGGAGGGTGTGCTCCAATTATAGGGGCATCACTCTCTTTAGCCTCCCTGATAAGGTCTATTCAGAGGTACTGGAGAAGCGAGTCTGATCACTGGTCGAACTTCAGATCCAGGAGGAACATTGGAGGTTCTGTCCTGGCCGTGGAACACTTGACCAGCTCTTTACCCTCACTAGGATCCTCGAGGCGTCATGGGAGTTTGCCCAACCAATCTACATGTGTTTTGTGGACTTGGAGAAGGCATTTGACTGTGTTTCTCGAGGTACACTGTGGGGGGTGGTCCATGAGTATGGGACTGGGGGCCCATTGCTACAGGCTGTTCAGTCCCTATACAAACGGTGCAAGAGTTTGGTTTGCATTGCCGGTAATAAGTTGGACCCCTTCAGGGTGGGAGTTGGACTCCGCCAGAACTGCCTGTTGTCACCGGTTTGTTCATAACTTTTTATGGACAGAATTTCTTAGTGCAGCCAACTGGAGGGGTTCTAGTTTGGGGGCCTCAGGATTCCATCTCTACTCTTTGCAGATGATGCGGTCCTGTTTGTATCATCGTGTCAGTGGACCAGTGACCAGTGGAACAGTTTGCAGCAGAGTGTGAAAAGGCTAGGATGAAAATCAGCGCCTCCAAATCTGAGGCCATGGTCCTCAGTTGGAAAAAGGTGGATTGCTCTCTTCGGGTCGAAGGTGAGGTTCTGTCTCAAATGAAGAAGTTCAAGTATCTTGGAGTTTTGTTCATGAGTGAGGGAAGGAATGGAGCATTAGAGTGACAGATGGATTGGTACAGTATTGTGAGCTCTGTACCGGTCTGAAGAGGGAACTGAGCTGTAAGGCAAAGCTCGCTGTTTACTGGTCGGTCTATGTTCCTACCCTCACCTATGGTCACGAACTCTGGGTAGTGACTGAAAGAATGAAATTGTGGATACAGGCGGCTGAAATGAGTTTCCTCCGCAGGGTAGCTGGACTCTCTCTTAGAGATAGGGTGAGGAGTTCAGTTATCCGGGAGAGACTTGGAGTAGAATCGCTGCTCCTCCACATCAAGAGGAGCCAGTTGAGGTGGATTGGGCATCTGGTAAGTATGTTCCCTGGGCACATCCCTAGGGAGGTGCTTCGGGCATGTTCGACTGGGAGGAGAACCCGAGGAAGACCCAGGACACGATGGAGAGACTATGTCTTTTGGTTGGCCTGGGAATGCCTTGGAGTCCTAGAAGAGCTGAAAAGTTGTCTGTGGAAAGAGATGTCTAGACCTCCCTACTCAGGCTGCTGCTCCCATGACCAACTTTGGAACAAGCGGAAGATAATGGATGAATGGATGGAAGTTGAACCTTACTTTTCTCTCTACAACTGGAAACAAGGTAAACTGAAGTAAATGTTTTGTGAAGGAAAATGCTATTTTTCCACGTAAATGGTAACAAAGGCAATACAAATTAAAGTTTGAGTAACAGTCAATGGAACAATTGACTGTTAAATCTGTGAGGCAGACATTTACTAATGAAGCATAACAAACTTTTCTTTTTGACCAAATTGTCAAATGAAAATAGAAAATATTCATTACTGAAAATTATTTCTGATACATTTTATACCATTAGTGCTTCTATTTGACAGCTTGTCAGAGACTATTGTATGCTTCCAGC